TATTATTAACTTATTAGCGAGTAAGTATAAGAATATTATTTATAATATTATTCTAATTATAATAGATTAATTTATAAAAATAATAAGATATATTTCTATATTTACTATAATCGATATCGCTTAATTAATAAAAATATTTTATTTTAAAATAGTATATCGCTATAATATATTAAATAATATTATTAATAATAAAAACTTTATATTTATTAATAATTTCTAATTCGCTATTTACTTTTATTTTAAAATTAAGTAATATCTAAATATTATATTTTATTTATAAATTAATAAATAAATTAAGCGATAAAATTAGATATTAAAATACTTTTTATATATATTTACTAATAATAAGTAAAACGTTTAGATAAAATAATTATTAATAATAGAGTTCGCTTATATAAATAATTAATATTTCTTTATTAAAATAATATCGTTTTTTCTAATATATAGATATTATTCTAAAATTTATTAGAAGATTAAAAATAACTTTATTAAGAAGAAGATATTCGCTATAAATAATAGAATAAAGAAGTTATAAATATTAAGAAATAAGATAATAAAATATTTTTATAGCGCGATTACGACTTAATTTAAGTATTATAATAAAATATATTAATTTTAAAATTATAAAATAAATAATTTAATAATATTAGCGATTAAGAATTTAAAATAAAAATATTTAAATAAGAAGTTATTTTATAAATTTATAAAATTATTTTAAATTATAAATAAAATAAGAGCGTAAATATATTATTTACTTTTATTCTCGATATATAAAATTTATAAAAAATTTTATATATCGTTATTTAAGTTTTATTATCTTCGCGATTATAATAATATAGCGAAAGTCTTTATATAAATCTTTAATCTTATTAATAATAATAAATTTTAAAAAATTAAAGAAATTATTAATAAGATTAAGTATAAGAAAGATATTTAATATAAAGTTAAATAAATTAATTAAGATAAAGAGTATAATTAATAATTATTAAATAATAAATTTATTAATATTAATAAATTAATCTAAATTTATAAATAGATAAATAATAAATAAAAGTATTAAGTAATAAATAATAAGTCTCTTATTATTAAAAAGCTCGATTAATTATATAGATTAATAATAAATAAATAAAAATAATAAAATAAGATATAATTATCGATTAGATTAAATATATTTCTAGATAATATTTATATTATACGCGTATTTCTCTATACTTATTATTATTAAAATATAAATTAATAAATTAATTATATTATTTAATTATCTATTAAGCTCTACTATAGAGAGAGTTTATTATATTAAAATATATATTATTAATATAAATATATTTTTATTTAAAGTAATTATTAAAGAATTATCTAAGAATTTTACGCTAGCGCTACTATTAAAAAAAGATTACTATTTAAATATTCTTCGCTATTTTAATATTAGATCTTAAATTAAATTTATTAACTTAATTTTTTAATAAGAAGATAATTAAAATATAATCTTCGAGTTAATACTTATCGATATTTATTATATATCGATAAAGGCTCTTAAACTTCTTCTTTAATAACTTATTTATTCTCTTTAACTTCGCTATATACTTATTTATTACTATAAATTAATTTTAAAAATTTATAATTATAATAGAGATAGTCGAAGTTATCGCTATTATATATCTCTATAATTTATATTATTAAATAATTTTCTTATTAAGCTTAACTTATTAATAAGATAGCTTTTAAGATTATTTAGCGCGGCGATAACATTATATTAATTTTCTTATTTATATTTAAAGATATAGAGAAATTTTAATATAGCGATTAATATCGCGCTTTTCGATCTTATAATTATTATAGAAAAAAGATTTATTTTAAATATATAAATTATCGCCTTAATAAAAATAAGTTCTATATAATAAATTAGATATTAGAATTTATTAGTAAATATATATATAGAGCGATAATAATAGAGATAGTTAAGAGTTAATAATCGCGTTTATAAAACGATTATATATTTACTATTAAAGTTATTATTATTATTAAAAAAAATTATTATAAAATTATTAATTTATATATTAATATAATTAATAATAATAAAATATTTATAATAAAGAGAAGTAGATTATTAATATAATAAGATATATTATATTTATATTAATATTAATATTAATATTATAATATTAGAATAAGTATTTATAAAAAAGACGTTAGAAGTTATAAAGAATAAAAATAAATAATTTAAAAAGAATTTTTATATTCTCTATTATAGCGTTATTATTAATAAATAATATTTAATAATATAGATAATAACGATATAATAATATTTCGCTACTATCTATAGAGCCGCGTTATCTAGCTATTATTATTATTTTTATTATTATTAATTAATAATTAAGAGCGTTATCGCGAATATATTACTTTATTAATTATTCTCTTTAGATCTCTATAATAAAGATTATTATTACGTTATTTCGCTATAAATATAATATATTATAAAAATAACATTACTTATAAAGAAACTCTTCTCCTTTCTTTTATTTATTAAATTTTTAAGATTTTATTATAAATTTTTAAATTTAATATTATTCGCTATAGAAATTATTAACTAGCGTTATAAAAACGCTAATATTAAATATATTAATTTATTATAGATTATTATTAATTAATATTATAAAAACGATATTATTCTTAAAAATAGTATTAATATTATTATATAATATATTAATAACGCGTCTATAACGTATAAGAGTTAATTCTATCGCATTATTAAAACGATATTATAATCTTAATAAATTAACTCTTTTCTCTTATTTCTCTATTAGAATTTAAAGATTTTTTAATAAATATTCTATTTTTACTTAGATATCTAAAAATTAAAACTTAGAAGAAGAGATAATTATTAAATTTAATACTATTATAAACCTTAACACTATTTATATTAAAGCGTCGATATTATATATATTATATTAGAGTTTCTTTTAGAATCTAGTTTTAATAATATATCTTATATATTTAAAGATTTAGCGAATATAAGTTTACTTTATATATCTCGAAGTTTTAATATTTTTTAGAGATTAGTTCTACTATTAAATATATTATTAAATTTCATAACGATACTATATCTTTTATAGTCTATATTCGCTAGCTAATCGCTAGTAGACTACGCTCTTATAATCTCTAATTACTTAATTTATAACGAAGAACTCGCTATAGAATCTATCTAGATTTATAAGCTTATATCTTTCTCTAATATTAAGACTTATTAATATAATACTCTATTAGAGTTATAGTCTAAATAGTAACTAAAATACTCGTTTAAACTTTAAATTTAAAGCTCGTATCTACTCTCTTCTTAAGACGATATTATTATATTATCTCGAAGTATAATATTATCTCTATAAGATAAGTTTAAGATATATTATATAATAAAATATTAATAGAGATATTAATAGAGTTATTAATAGAGATATTAGTAGAAACGAGTAAAGGCCTATAAATTAAATTCATAACCATTTCTTTTAATTAGGGCTGTCGAGTAAATTTTGATAAGCGATATCTGAATTCCTTACTTTTAAATATCTATAAGATCAAATTTAGTAATTCTTTTTTTATCTGAAAGCCCACATTACGTTCTATAATTTAAATAAAAAATCTCGAATATTTAATAGAAAATAAAAAAGTTATTCTATGTGTTAATAACGTACACCTATTATTTTTTAATTAGGGCTATTTAGCTGTCGAGCGAACTTTAATAAGCGATATTTGATTTCCTTACGCTTTGATAATTATAAGACTAAATTTAGAAATTCTTTTTTTATCTAAAAGCCTATATTTCGATCTATAATTTAAAAAAAAATCTTAAAAACTTAATAGAAAATAAAAAAGTTATTCTATATATTAATAACGTATATTTATTTTTTTAATAGTTACGAACGCTAATTTATTTATTCGCGATATCTAATTAAAAAGCGTAGATCTAATAAATTAATAATTAATTATATATATAAATTCAAGATTTTCTAATTTAACTCTATCTTATTCTTTTATATATATTAATATAAATAGAGATATTAATAGAGATATTAATAATAATAACGAGAATAATAGAAGTATTAATAATAGTTAAAGTCTATATAGTAATAGTAGTAGATATCTCTACTATAATAACGTAAAATAGTAGAAATTTAATAGTTACTAATAAAGAAGATAATTTTCTTAATTTTTTACGACGTTTCTAACTTAGCCTTAAAAATAGAGTTATCGAACGAAATCGTATAGATATTTTATATATTTTGAATATAAATTAGTGTTATTTTTAAGCCATATTTTTATTTGCCAAGAGGTGGCGTTATTTAGTGAAAATAAGTAGGGGTTATTTTCAAAATATGTGGTTACCGAACTGGCCCTAAACCTCCCTCGTACACAAGCGCAACTGCGATGAAACAAATATTCTGCGCGTTGAAGTCTTTGGGGCAGAGGGCTCATATCGTACAACCAGATACGCGTCTTGTAGAGCATGTGTTGTGGCGCACGGTTTACCGCTCATTGGGAGTGAAAAAAGATGCCGAACATGGTCTGTTGATGTCTAAGGATGTCTTGCTGTAGAGGCGATACTCGTAGTAGCGTGTCAACATCCGGCTCCCACTTCTTCCAATCATCTTGTACTTTCAGTCATTCAAACGATTGATCCTATGTATCGTATGGGATCTCAGGGAAGTCTGAAGTAATCAATTCGTTCTGAATATTCTCCATTCTCTTTGAGATACAACAAATCTCTTGTATCTATATTGTATTGAACGCGAGCACAGACGAGACCGCAAACGAGAGTTGGATGTAGGCATCATGAGGAAAAAGCGTCCATGACAATATATAATCAGATGAGACACCAAGGCGCTGCCATCAGGAATTCTCTGTTGAGTTGTCTGGCGCCAAGCCAACGCCACCAAACGCCCACTCGCTTCACTCTCCCAAGCAGCCATCCACCATCACCTCCACCACCTTTCTCTCTACCGCTCAACATGTCCCAACACGCACGAATAGAGGAGCTCTCCGACTCCGACTCCGACTCCGACCCCCCGGAGCAGGACCCAGATGACTTCACCGACACCCTCATCCGCCCCGCCAGCATCCCCCCACCCTCTTCTCTCCGCCCTCCGCAACGACAACAACCGCCCCTCCAATCCCGGCAACCTCAAACGCCATCCTTCAATTCCACCTCTCCACCAGAATACAAGCACTACCAATGCCTCTACCCGCTGTACTTCGACGCCAGCAAGACCCGCTCCCAAGGGCGCCGCGTGAGCGCCGAACAGGCCGTCAAAAACCCGTTGGCGAGGGAGATTGTCGACGCGGTACAATTGCTAGGATTGAAGACGGTGTTTGAGCCCGGGAAGACGCATCCGAGGGATTGGGCGAATCCGGGACGGGTGCGGGTGTTGGTGAAGGAGGGGGGAAGGGCGAGGAGTGCGAAGGTGAAGAATAGTATGCTCTTTATTCCCTACACACACCCCAAGTTACCGTGTCTACACGGAGTTTTTGGATATTTACTCGAGGGACTTAATGCACCGGCTGATACCTTGATGGTACAGAACACCACCTCTACACCCTAATCTCCCAGCACCTCAAAGTCCACCCCACAACCGCCGAATCGCCACTCCGCCTAAGAATCCAAGGAATGCCCCCACCGCAACTTCCCATACCACCGCCCGCTGTACCGAAAGGGTGGATAATTAATGACATACTACCGCTACATTCGCCGGCGCTGAGTGGAGGCGGGGTCAGCGAGAATATATTGAAGGACGTGATGCAGGAGATGCAGAATGCGCAGGGAGGAGGGGGCGGAGGAGCGGGTGGGGGCCCAGGAGGACTGGCTGGGATGCTGGGAGGGATGGGAGGAGGGGGGCAGGGGAGCGTGGAGGGGGCGGCGGCTGGGGGAAAGAGGAGAAGAGAGGGAGGGAAGAAGAAATGAGGATAGACGGTTAGAAGGGGGGAATTGCATAACTCTGGCGTTGGACTTCGCTTGTTGAACGCTCAAAAATACACGGCAGCCCCTGGTATTGAGCTTGAACGACGGTTATGGGTATCGACGAAGGAGAAAGCCGCGGAAATATACGGGTACAATATTGCCACCACGTCCCATCCACATACACCAGCCCCAGCAGGATTTGAGCTAAAAGCGCCGCTTTCCAGGCCTCCTTGACGAAGCCCGACTTCTAGCCATCCTCAAAGGCATAGCCTCATCCCACTCCTCGTCAATCTGGTCCCTGCTCTCCCTTCGCTTCTTCGGCCAGTTCCTACAAATGTCGATGTTGGCCCTTGGGAACACCATCTCCAGCAGCTGAAAGAGCAAGTAATCGATGATGACGCAAAGACAAAAGAGCTTGCCGGCCCAGATACCGCAGCCGTAGTATCTCTTCAAGCGATCAATCAACGCAAAGCTCTGCACACCCGCCCTACCTCGAGTGGCAGACCAGCCACCGCCTGAGACGTCGCCGTAGAATTCTTCTTCGCTAATCGCACCTGTGATGCCGTCGTAGACTCGTTCTGTTCGCTCTGCGACATTGGTCCAAGAGTACATTTTCTTGACTTGGTCGTGGAAGCCTTCGGTTCGGATCCTGTTAGCTCTCAAAGCTGAAATTGCTTTGCCTGTAGCAGCTACCAGATCGTCCTCCTCTGGCTTTGCGAAAGTAGTCATATGCGGAGGCAGTACTTCGGGTATGCCCCCTACACGAGTGCACACGACGTACAAGCCACAGCTAGCGGCTTCGACGATGACAGTACCAAAGGCTTCGGTTAGACTAGGATGCAGGTATATATGGCCTCGGACCATGACATCCCGAACCTCTTCATGACGAACAGGTCCGAGTAGCTCGACTCGATCTTGCAGCACTCGTCGTTCGAGCATCTGCTCTAGATCTATAGCTTTGGGTCCAGAACCAGCGATGATAAAGCGTACGTGAGAATCGGCTGCCAGGATTCGAGGAATGGCTGCGATGAGAAGATCAGTGCCTTTGTTGTAGAAGAGCCTAGAAATCACGACAATCGTAATAGTATCCTCAGGACCAAGTCGTTGAGGCGGTGGTGGCGGAGGGCGAGCGTCAAGTTGCGAGATTGGCTGGTGGGTTTTCGCACGATTCTGCAGAGCCAAAGGCTGAAAATTCTCTGCCACGACAGCGTTGGGGATCACTGAGACCATCAGCGGGTCCAATGAAGCTCGCAGAACTGTGTTTTCTTTGCTATCATAATCTCAGCACAAATTATTAAAAGTCCAGTCAATGTTACATACCAAGTGTGGCTGACTCCAATGACATGATCCACATCGCTCAAGGTAAATTTCAGGAGCTTATTCGTCAAGATACTCGCAGCATCCGCGAACCCAAAAAGCGAATGATCGGTAAAGACCGTTCTCAGCCCCATAGTCCTGGCATGTAAAATAGCCTCGTGACATAGACTGCTCAAGCTTGCATGCCCATGCACGATTTCGATCTGCTCTCTCAGGATGATATTCCTGAATATTGGGAAGAAGGAAAAAACAGTCGGGAAAGTAGTTTCTCTATAGATGACAAAGAAAGGTACGTGGTAGACCTTGAGGCCATTCGTAAGATATCGAACACCACTTCGTCCTTCATATGCATGGGTGATGATGACGACTTTATGGCCACGATCGATGAGCTTGGTCGAGAGTTGGTAGATGTGGCTTTCAACGCCGCCGGGTTGGGGGAAAAAGAAGTCGCTGACCATGGCGATATTGTACGTCATTTTGAAGGCTTCCAAGGTTCGGGGTCCAATGGAAACTGGATTGAAGATCGAAAAAATACATCATGAGCATTCGATGGATTTTAATGTTTATGCTTGGTCCTTTACTTCGAGATCTGATATCGAAGGCGCTAGATTAGATGCCGGCGCGTGGCGTTAGGCGCGGCTGTCCAATCCGAGATCTTGATATTCAAATGGATATCCACTTACAGCTGAATCATTCGCAAGCGATACCTCATGGCTTCGCCGTTCTACAACAGATATATCCCACCGCCGCCAAAAGCCCCTCATCATAGCGAGCCATCACGTCCCGCAAAAAAGCGGAAAAAAAGCAAGTCTGCTCCCACTATAATTTTGCAGCAAGCAAAGCCTCAGGAAGAGTCCCAGGAATCTGTCGCCTCGAATGATCACGGTGATGAGGAAGCGCATCTCGGATCTGCCGATACTGAGGGCGTTCATCATCAGATCTCCATACGTGATAGGCACAAGACCGTGTTGGACAAGTACGGTAAGGCCGCCAAAAAATCTGCTGAATTGACGGATGAGAAGACCGTCGCAGCGGAAGATGATGAAGGCGAGAGGCAGAAGGATGCAATGGACGTTGAGTTACACGGCTTGGAGCCATTACCGCAACCTGCTCCCGTGAAAGAAGATCATCCAGTATCTGCATTCTCTGCTCTTCCCGAATGGCTTCAAACCCCAGTATTGGCTTCTTCTGCGAATACTGTACCTTTCAAAACCCTCGCACTCCATGGCGATATGCTTGCTTCACTGGAAAGAAGGGATCACTTAGCCACCTTCGCAATCCAGTCTGCCGTTCTTCCGATGCTTCTTCCTGGACCACAGCAGCATACTGGGGACGTTTGCGTTTCCGCCGCTACTGGGTCCGGGAAGACGCTCGCTTATGTCCTACCAATAGTACAGGACCTACGTGACAAGCCAGTCACCAGATTGAGAGGTCTGATTGTTGTTCCTACTAGGGAGCTTGTCAACCAAGTTAGAGAGTCTCTAGATCTCTGCAGTGCTGGCAGCGGGCTCAAGATTGCGACAGCAGTCGGGAGCAAGTCGCTGAAGGAAGAACAGACAGTGCTCGTTGAAAAAGGTCAGAGGTACGACCCTGAAGCTTACAAAGCGGAGCAAGAGAAAGAGGTTGATGAGGCTGAGGAGCTAATGGACTGGGACTTGGACAAGAGGTTTGGGTCAAAGGATGACCTGGAATCATTCTACAACCACGTTGTCGAATATAACTCAAAGGTTGATATACTCATCTGCACACCTGGTCGGCTAGTTGAACACATCCAATCTACGACTGGCTTTACTCTGGAGCACGTACGGTGGCTCGTCATCGATGAAGCTGATCGACTACTTGATGAAAGTTTCCAACAATGGGTCGATGTTGTGCTGCCTGGTCTGGAGTACTTGCCGCCGCCGGATGCCTTAAATCAGTCGCGATCAGACATCTCTCATATATTTCGACGAAGGGAGGTTCGCAAGATTATTCTGAGCGCAACGATGACAAGGGATATCAGCAAGTTGACGACACTTAAGCTCAGGCGACCTAAGTTGGTTGTTCTTGAAGGTCAAACCCAAAGAATGGCAATAGACGACGGGGACGCAGCCATTGGAGGTGAAGGAGGAAGGGTAGATGTCCCGGCAAGTCTACAAGAGTACGGCGTTCCAATATCGGAACATAACATCCAGGATAAACCGCTGTATCTGATCGAGCTCCTCGAATCGGGCTCTGACCGGCTCATTGGCAAGAATCGCCGGTATTCATCCGTCCCTTCGAAGAGCGCTGAAGTGAATGAGGGCAAGACTTCTACGGACAGCGAGGATCTTTCCCAAGGATCTGATTCATCATCAAAGTCTAACGATCTCTCGAGTCAACTACTTGGGGCCGATAAACCCTTGAACCATGGCACTTTAGTTTTCACTGAAAGCAACGAACAGGCCATTCGACTGGCTCGACTCCTTGCACTTCTCCGTCCATCATGGCAGATCGGTACCCTCACCAAGTCCACAGCTGGGGCATCCGGCCGCAAAACGCTGGCCGCTTTCCGGAAGCGAAAGCTCTCAATACTGATAGCATCTGATCGGGCGTCGCGAGGTCTTGACATACCAGACCTTGCGCAGGTCATCAATTACGATATGCCGAAGAGTGCAACGAGCTACGTGCATCGTGTTGGGCGCACTGCGAGGGCCGGAAAAGCGGGCCAAGCCACAACCCTAGTGTTGCATAACCAAGGAAAGTGGTTCTGGAAGGACAAGTCCGGCATTGCAAAGTCAGAAATTCTGGTCAGAGGCCCAGACAAGCGAGTGATCCGGCGGAATTTGGCCATCGATGTGAATGAGGAGGCGAGGGAGGAGTACGAGAACGCCTTGCGAATGCTCGGGGAAGAAGCCAAAGGATAACGCCATGGAACGGGGTAGATCCATCGCATTGGCGTTCACAGGCAACTTTTATATGTATAATGATACCCAATCAAGCGACTCCAATGCGCATATGCACCGCTCGCGTAGCCATCCCTAGCCTTCTTATGGGCAACATCCCCGATCTTCCCCTGTATACCAACTGGGTATCCCCTCCAACCCCTCCCTACCCTCTAACCTCCACCCTCCTCCACATCGCCACATGCCGAATCCCACACTCATCCCACCTCCCCATCCCCTCATCAGTCCGCCACCCCAAACCCGCATACCACTTCTCCCTGTCCGCCTGCGCATGCGCCAACAACAACCCCCTCCACACCGCCCTCCTGCCCTCCCCATCCCGCCAATCCCTCACCACCTCCCCCTCATGCCCCGCCGCCCACCCCAACGCCTCCTCCACCACCGCCCTCCCATACCCCCTGCCGCGAAACTCCTTCCGGGTCGCCAACCTGCCGATCATCAAATACGGCTCCTGGCCATCCCACAGCCGACTGTCCTCGTAGTTCGGCCCCGCGACCGCCGTCTCGTCGTCGGCGTGCGCTTGGGCCGGGATGAGACGGATTGTAGCCGCCGGGACGGCGTCCGCGGCGTAGAGGACCCAGTGCCAGGAGACGGGGTCGTCGGCGTCGAGGTCTTCGTCGGCGGGGCAGTTTTGCTCGATGGTGAAGACGGCGTCGCGGATGGCGAGGGCGTCGTGGAAGGCGGGCGGGATGGATGGGTCGGTGGGGGAGACGGGGCGGTAGGGGGAGGAGGACCGGGGGATGGATAGGACGGCGGGGCCTGGGGGTGGGAGGAAGGCGATTGTGTAGGGAGGGGTCGGTGAGGACATGTTGGAGATGTGGTCGGTGTGGTGGAGACGATTGGAGGCTATGAGGGAGTAGTGCGGGTCCCGATGCTCCGGTCAAGGGCGAGGTATGAGAGATGCTGCAGAGGATGCTCAAGCGGAGCGCGACTGGGCATTGTTATAAGGGAGAAGGAAGAATGGACTTCGTTATGGTGCTCCGTTCGAGTGACTCATTTGAGTGAGTCATCCGTCTTTAGAAAGATTGTGGAAGCGAGGAGAAGGATTGGGCAAGTCGGTGTCCTCCGTCATACTCGTATCGGTTCAATGATTCTGATAGCGAACATGAGAGAATACATGTAACATTCTTACGGACGAGGAGGGTTGAAGTTGGGAATACGGACACTCGAAGATCTAATTATGGTGTTCGGAAGTGGGCACCAAATGTCCTGCACATGCCAAGACTCCTGCGCTAAAGACTCGGATAATGCCCCGCCTGAAGGGCTGCCTCAGCCTGGACAATGCACTTAAAGCTGCTTCGGAAAAGCGCCCGATCTGAGCTCATTTCGGGCCCATCTGCCCTTAGCAAGCCTAATAGAGGTCCCCGAATTTCAACGTATGCGCCCCCAGGAAAAACTCGCTCATGTCCCCTTACCGCCGGGGCTGTCGCCGACGTTGTCGGCAGCCGCCCCGTATTCCTCACGGGGATGTCACTCTCCTCGCCTGCTTCGTACTCGCATGTGGCCGCGCTCGTACCTGAATCGAGTTGATCATGTTCCGCGCCATGCAAGGAATAGCAGTAGCGCTTTGTCTGCCCCCACATACTCACCAATGCCGTTCCCAGCGGCGAGACACGCAATGTTGGTTTCGCGTGTATGGGGCTCGGGCAACCGTTTGGGTTCTCTTGAGGACTCGTGCTGGGCGGTGTGCTTGTCGATACTATTGGCTGGAGAGCTGTGTGCGCTGAGTCGATCATGGTGTGCCTTCTTGTTGGGACATGGACCATCCCAGCGGACGCGCTGATGCAGCCTTCAACCCTGGAGAGGTTGAAAACGGATATTGATTGGACAGGAGCGATTGTTGCAACAGCATGCTTGGCTTTAATCGCTTATGTGCTGGTGTGAGCCAAGCCCCCGTTTCCCACCCTTTCAAGTCACTAACGGTACTCTGATAGCATCATCTCTACCCGCGCTTCATATGTTGGACATGCCAACGTCATTGCACCACTGACCGTCAGCCTATTACTGATCCCTGTCTTCGTTCTATGGGTTGGCAGGCAGGAACGATTGCAGAAGCCAGCTTTGATACCGAATTCGTTATGGCTAAATATACTATTTACTAGTATATGCCTCATGTCCTTCTCTCATACGCCGTTATGCAAACTATGGAGCTCTTCTGTGGTCTCTTGTAAATTTACCGGCCCAATTTACTTGGGGGGCCACGGGGCTCGCTGACGGCTAACGCAGCTGGCAACAAGTGCAATTGCTTTCGCCGCTTCAGGCATCTATTCGCTTCGTGCCGAGCATGATTCTGGCTGCGATCCTGAACCTCGTCACCGGCCTCATCGTTGACAAATTCCCGGTGGTCTACCTAGTTCTGATCTCGTCGGCTCTCGGTGCAATGGCCCCGTTACTCATGGCCATCAACTCTCCAAGCTGGCCGTACTGGTATGCAGCGTTTCCTGCGCAAATGTTCGAGCCACTCAGTCCCGATGGTGAGTTCGATTACAGTCCGAAGTCCAAGAAGCGTGGATATTTTGCTGATGGCTATTTCCCTTAGTGATATTCACGGTGGGTATCCTTCTCGTCTCGGGAGTATTTCCGGATCGGACACAAGCGCTTGCAGGTGCAGTCTTCAATCCCGTCGGTCAGTTTGGTCAAGCTATTGGACTTGCTCTCATTGGCGTCGTGTCGAACTCGGTAACACACAACTCCAAGTACGCCGACAAAACTTTACCTGATGCACTTTGGACTGGGTACCGTGCTGGCTTCTGGACGTGCACCGGATGGATGGTCCTTTCTTGCTTGATCGGCGCACTCGGCCTTCACAAAAGTGGTAGAGTTGGCCTGAAGAGGGATTGAGCAGTCTCCATGGCGAGAAGAAGATAGATCAGAAGCTGAGGCGTACAAGATAGCAACAACCGAAACCGATGAAAGAGACGAGAATAAAATCTATAACCTAACAACTACAAATTACCCTTGCTTTCTTAATTCTTAAGAAACTAAGAAAGATCCTACGATTTTGGTACCCTCTAGAATCAATAATCCAAATTTCTTATTCCTTAAAGAACTTTATACCTACGACTTCTAATATTCCTTGAAACTTTATAATTTCTACTCAATATATTGAAGATGTAGAGATTAGACTCTTAGAAAACTTAATTTTTAAATATGTTAGAATCGTAAACACAATAAGTCTACAGTGGTGTATAATCAGGAACTTAATTAATGAAGAGATCTATGCTATGGACAGGTGTGACGGTAGACATACCTAATGCCAACGGACCCTTCAGGCGCGCTGGTACAGCTCCCAACCTTCACAACCTCTGTCAGCAACCCGAGTTACCGCTAGGTTAAAAAGCCATGCCCGGGGGTGTCCGCACTTCACGCTGCAGACACCCCTATCTGGGCCCCATACGAGGCCCCCGAAGGAATAGTTCCCAACAACCTCTCCCCGTAAACGTTCCCCGTTCCCCGTGCCCAACGACTGGCACGCCCACATCGAGCAAAGTGCCTCCCGCCGCCCTGAACTCCATCCCGCGAAGATGAGCCTGCGAAATTCGAGCAAAGTGAGCCGAGAGCGTAGAGGGTGAGAATGAACACCATATGCTGTCGAGCGTTCATTCTGTATAGAAATTGCATCCATGAGCCAATAGGTGGACAACTGGTAGATACTTACTCAATGGATACCTTCGCCTCAAAGCGTTGCGTCTGAGTGCGGTTTGCTCATCCAAACCCGATTCGAAAAGTCCTATTTGGCGGAGTTGAGCTGGTCGCGACTTCCCGAGTATCTTGCGCGGATCGATATTGGTCAATTCGCCCCGTTTAGACTATTAGTCCGCATCAGCCATGGTCGACAGAAGGCATTATGGTGGCGATTGCACGGTCGAGCTTTCTGTGTGGTCTATTCGTAGATATTCGATTGTTGCAGATGCAGAGATGGAGACCGTGTTTTACAACATAAAGGGAAAGAGGTCTCAAGCTCAATTAGAACTTCAGTTGAAGAAGGCGGTGTCCGCTATCTTGATGCATTGTCGAACAAGGCTCAGTTTCGAACCTTTGAAGCGACTCCCGAGACCGCTACACGCTAGCTTGACGTAGGAAAATTCTGACCGCTCATCGCTGAAACATCGGATTCAAAACCGCAGCGACCTGCTCATAGACCGTAAACAAGATCCCACCGCTGAAGACCGTCCTCCCCAACCTCATCGTCGTTCCCCGCCAGAAACCCCTCACCCCATCATCCGCCAGCACGCTCCGGAAAGCCTCCACGGTACTCGCCCCCTTCGCGCTCTGCGACCTCGTCTTCAGCGTATCGAACGGCTGCGTAGCATACGTCGTGATCGTTCCGGCCACCGCCCCGTTCGCAAAATTCGTCGCCGTACTCTGCGCAATGTGTTTGCTGTTCTCGTAGTCCTTCAGTATATTATACGACCCCATGCGGAAAGCGGTGGCGCCAGCCTGCTTGAGCGTAGTCCCCGCGAAGCCGCGATAGAGGCCCAAGAAACCGTGTTCGGCGTAAATAACCCTCACGGCATGCGGTGCCGAACGAAACCGTTTGGCCGTCCGGGCATCATCGATCAGCGCCGTCTTGATCCGCTCGGTCGGCGTGACGGCGAAGACGCTCGCCACGATCCCGGCGCTCATCCCCGCCAACAAGTTACGGAGGGGGGACAGCGCGCCCGTGTCGGGATCCTTGAAGGCGCTCTTGATCATGTCGAAGGAGAGGAAGCGGACGCCATCTTTGGCGACGGACCCGACGATGAGCGAGGAGCAGCCTTTGTACAACGCCCTTGCGCCCTCGTTGCGGAATACGTCGGCGACGACGAGGAACGGGTTGCGCGGCCGGGACGCGGAGCCTGCGTCGCGGAGCTGGACTCTGGTTTTGGCGAACTCGAACGGGTAGGTTACTGCTGCTTCGATTCCGCCCGCGATGCCGCCGGAGACGAGCGACACGGCCGCAGGGGTCTTGGAATTGTCCGTCGCTCCTGATTTGGGGCTCATTAGTGAGTTTGAAGCAAGCCTGAGTATTCGGTAGCGTTGAATGCGTTAATTTAATAGCATGACAAGGCCAGCACCGAAAGCTATGATTTAAGGCTGTGCCGAGTACATACAATGACAATGCATGTGAGGGAGGTTGTTGACAAAAGCAAGTGCCGAGGGTGCTTTCTGTTCAAGAAATGTCTTGGCGTTTCGTCATCAGATCGTGGTGTCGCCTCATCTGGGCAGGTTTGCCGAGTCCTCACCGTATGATACATACACGGCAGCTGCGATCATACAGTTAGTAGTCGTTGGTAATTAAGGAGTAAGAAGAATTTGCTCCTGTCCTGATAGAATCTACATCCGATTTGAAAGCCTGTCGAAATGACTATGGGAAATACGATTAAAGTCTCGGCCCAAAAATCCACATCTCGGGACTGGGGGTCAGTAGGTCCCATGATATAGTCGCATATAGCGTACACTGTGCTCATTGCAGGAGATACGCGTCCATATCGAGTAGCGTACATACTCGTCCTATACCAGCGTATGACTCTTTGCTCGATTTTTCTCTAATAGAGCCATAGTATTTTTTTACAGTCATAGCATCCCTTTCATCACATGACATTCTTTCTACAGACACATATCACGAAAATAGCGCGGTGGTTTCCGCACCCTCTGGGAACAGTAGTCGTGATTTGTGCCTGAGTGGCTAGCTACCTGGCAGGATATAGGTGCGACCTCCTAGCTAATGACCAGATTTATACCAAGAGGACGACTCGCTCTTCTTGCTCCGCAGCCTCTTTGAACCAGCCAAAAGGGTCAATGCCCTCGCGAGTCGCATTGTCATTCCAAGTACCGATACGTTCAAATGTATCTGCGTGGCCTTCCACCGGAACCAAAACCAAGCCCTTCAGCATGCAAGATTGAGGTGAGCGATGATCGCACTGGAGGACCGGCAAGAGTACATTGTTTTTGGGTGACCATTGAACGGTGTCATCGATCTGGCAATTGATCCAAGACTTTGAAGGATCACCCCCGCGGGACCTCGCTATTTGAACAATCTTACCTTTAGGGGAACTATGAAAGCTCAAGTCTTCAGTGCTGAGCAAGCGTCCGCGTAGTTTGATATAACCGTCACTGACCTGTCCTGTAGTAACCTCGCCCAACGGAGTAGTCCTGGCCTCTAGGACTTGGCACAACTCGACCCATCTCTCTTCTTCGGGATAGACTTCTGGGAAGATTTCGATTATGCCTTCAACAGAAGCCCAAGACCAGGATGGGGCGCGATATGTCCCCGGTCTGTATGTGGGTTCACCGTTTGCTTGGAGACCGTTGCGAGTTGTCCACATCAGCCCAGATGGTAACTGGTTTCGCCAGAGGCCTGCAAGGTAATCATCGTCCCGGAGCGATTTGTAAATGTTGACGAGGCCTTGAATTGCAATCAGTTTGTCCTGCTCCTCGGTGAGGGTGCAGGTGGTATAACTTTCGACCATTGCACGCCAACTGAAAGAAAAAGTGTCCCTTCGATTGACAGTGTGTCTATGCGGATAAAATAAGCCTTTGTCCCATGGCTGAGAAGTCCGGCGTTGGGTCGGAAAGTTTCCATCTTGATCAACCTTGGCTTCCCAGGAAGGAAATGCCTCGCAGGCTTTGAGTTTGGTACACTCCCAAAAAACCTGATTAGAATGGAATGATATCTGACGTGGGGCAAGCCAGCGCTCCTGGCAGACCCAGCCACGAGAATATAGCGGGCTACCATTTCCCCTATCAGACTTCGAATTAACATAGTCTTGGGTGAAGCAGACGGTTGATCTATATGACAGGCTCGAGGTTTGTTTCTCATCAAGAGTAAATATGCCAAGTCGTTGCGGATCTCTCCCGAAGAACAAACCTCCATCACAATTTATGGCCGCTTCCGCCATAATGTTGCACGCAGAATACCGATAGACCTTGTCCATTAGACGCGATTCTCGTCGCCAGTCCTCCATTGAATCTTGAATGATACACAACGAATCGATCCACAAATAGCTTACTCCCAAACTGCGTGCAACTTGGACGGCATCGTTGAAGCTACGCGGCAGAGCTTCAATGGGGATGCGGTTTCTCATTGAATCAACGTTGGCGTTTGTGAGCTTTGGAGGCCTTGGCCCGTCTCGCTCGCCCCAGCAATGACTCAAAGTCATGTATGACACCGGAGATAGTTCGTTGGACAGTTCTAGACAGCACTTCTTTGATGCGTTCGATTGGCCAATATTGATCAGACGAGTGGGTATCCAACTGGCGTTTTCAAAAGCCGGTATGAATCTCCCCGGAGAGCAATCTGGATGGCCTTCTACACAGTTCCCATACCATTGCTTAATTTGAGCGATGGTATCTGGGGAACCCGTGCTGTCGCCCAACTCATGGACCGCGCTTCCGTCACATGCGGTGCAGGCGGATGTATGCCACCAATCTGTTATGTCACATCATATTAGCTTCAGCCTGATCTAAACCCCCAACTTCCGCCGAGCTTTTCGCCTGATCGACATACCGAGATGTGGATGAAGCTCGAGAATGACGGCGCGATCGTCAGCGTCTCCGAATTGGAAGAGTATGGTTGTAGCTTCGTTCCTGGCGAGTTGCTGAACGCGGTACAAAGAAAATGTCCTTCGGTAACGCAACCACAAGGCAAAAGATCTAGCATTGCGCCAAAAATCGAGCCACCAAAATCGCATTCCTGGTTTGGCTTGCATTCGGATGAATCCGCATATCGGTTGCTGGATTACAGATACAAAGGCTGATATGCTACGCTTCTCACTCTCGTCAAATTGTGCCCAATGCTCACACAGAACGAGGCATATCTGGCAGCCTTGGTCGGCCGCCGCCTGCATATCTTCTGACGA